AATGATGACTGGCTTCTCTAGGGGGTTCTGAGGAGAGAATTCTGGAGATTTGGGTGAGGATCTTCATTCTGAATTTCTACTCTTGTTCTCTCCATTTTGTTTGGTTTTTAAATTTCTTTCCACCTCTTTCCTTTCCATCTGAGAACCCTTTGCAGGAGGCTGACTCCTCCCCTCAGGTCTCCTTTCAGTCCTGCCAGGAGTTAGACTGGGACTTTGTAGGAAACTCCTCTCTCCACACCCCCCCCCCCCCAAACTGCTACCCAAACTTCCAAACGCTGGTCCTGCCTGATTTTATTAAAGTGTGATTTGAGGGGCAGGAGGAGAAGTTAGGAGGAGCATGAGGCTCATATTAGAGGTAGCCTCTGCCTGTAATCTCAGCCACCTAGCCGACTGGCCCAGATGGGATGGAGCAGCATCTTCCCATTTGTCTACACAATCAGCTCCCACACAGGGGGTTGCCAGAGGTGTGTTTCCCCTGGGGTGGGTTCTGCTGACGGACCTGCTCCTCTGATGACAGTCTTGTTGGTTTTTATGCCTTGTCAAAAGCTGGATCTGAAATGCTCCGAAAGGGCACATCCTAAGGATTTGGTGGTTTCTTCCTCTAGCCCAGTTGAGAAATGCCCCCGCTATTTAGCCACCTCCTCTCAACCAAGGCTTTTTCATTGCTGGAAGGCATACGCCACTAATATAGTGATGGTGGCCTGAGGCGGTGAGCCCACCTTGATAAGTATGTAACTTATTATCAGCAAGTGGCTTAGAAGTGGCTTAGAAGTTCCAATGGAGATGACAGAACTGCAATCCATTAGCATTTGGACGTCACCTGCCATCAAGGGCAGGGGTCCATTTAATTGGCTTAGTGGGATACAGACCAGGTACAGCCAGATTCAGGAGCTTACCTGAGGGATGACTCCTGACAACAGCTCACGAGGCCACCCTGGCATTGCCTATCTAATGGCCTGGTAAAGCGTTCTGTCTCCCTTATAAGTCTGCAGCCCTGAATGTAGCAGCCTTCCTTGTGCTAAGCATTCAGATCATTTGAGGAAAGTGAGGAAGCCCTAAAAGACCTGTCAAGGGATGACCTGGTTAAGTAGTAACTGACTGTGCCAGGGAGGACTTAAAAATCTGATGCCAGGATGCTGGGCACGCCTGCCCTTTCTATTCATAATCCACATTAAGTTTCTGGGCAGGTATTTTGAATTTATACTAATGTTACCCAGTAAGATTCTTTTGTTCACACCATTAGGAAAATTGGCCTTCATTGAAGAAGAAAATATTAATATGTTAGGCCTAGAAGCACAGAGCATGTCTGTATTTAATGAGTCAATGCCAGTTTCCTTAGTAGTTACCTTCCTATCTCAATTATGGAGACATTACATTCATCAGTTCTCAAAATTGGCTGTGCATCAGAATTATTTGATGCCTTTTAAAACCCCCAGATTTGGTAGGTATTGGGTGGGGCCTGAGAATTTGCATTTCTAACAAGTTCCCAGATGATGCTGATGATGGTGACTCTGGGAGCACACTTTGAGGACCACTGTCCTAAACATTTGGTGATTTCTTCAGTGACTTGCAACCTGGCTTTTAGTTTAGAACCCAAATGGGCTGGGTTTAAAAAAGATGGTGTTGTCCAAGAAAGGTAGTAGCTCCATGGATTTTTTTATTTATTTTTATTATTTTTAATATATTTTTATTGATTTCGGAGATGAAGGGAGAGAGATAGATAGATAGAAACATCAATGATGAGAGAGAATCATCGATCAGCTGCCTCCTGCACACCCCACACTGGGGATCAAGCCCACAACCTTGGCATGTGCCCTGACTGGGAATAGAACCATGACCTCCTGGTTCTTAGGTCAATGCTCAACCACTGAGCCACACTGGAGGGGCTCAATGAATTTTTTAAAATGATTGCCATGCCTGGGTTTTGTTGGCCTGGGTCTGGCCAGCTGTTTGGAGATGGCTGTTTCCAAAGGCTGGCGTGTGTTACCATGGTAATATTCTTCCCCATGCAGGAAGGCCTTGGGGTCGGTTTTTCGCAACTGCCCATGTGTTTTTCTCATGGCTTTTCCCATAGGGTGCTGCATCCGGGGTTCCATGCCGTCACTCCTGGTTGGTGTTCCCAGGAAGCTGGGTACAGTAAGGAGGCTCCAGGCCCTCTCTTTATCCAGCCTTGTAAATGAAGTGAGCTTCCTTTGTCAATGCAGGACCCAGCGTGCTGAGGGCAATGGATTAGATGAAGCTCACTTGGGTGCAAAGCAGAAGTGGTTGGCAGGGGCATCCCAAGGCTGTGGGGAAGGTGCTTTCCGCTCCCTTGATTAGCAGCTCTTGCCCTGTAGAGCTGTGTCTGGATTCTCAGCTCGGGAAGGCATGCCTCCCCTTCAGCATTTAGCATGAAGGTTATTACCTCTCTGGATGCAGGGCATGGCGGAGATGTCTGTGGCACGTGACTGCCGTGGGATTTCTTTGTTCTCCTGCCAGGGTTCTCCTTGAAGGCCACACAGATATCCTGGTGTTCTTCCCTTAGGGTGTAGCACACATGGTGTCCAGGTGGCCACAGCTCGGCAAAGGACAGTTCAAGGTGTGGCTCTGCATATCTTGTGTGGGTAGAATTCTGGTTGCTACAGGCCCTCTCCTTTCCTGTGTACCTCTCAACAGGTGAGATAGACCAGTCACAGGGCCCAGGTTTGAACATCGGGGGACATCACAGTCAATTTTCAAACAGGGGACTTTTAAAAATGCTCCCCTGAAGTGTTTCTCTGAGATAACTTTCTGGTCTCATTGGACCAGGTGCAATGCTTTGGGTTACTCTGCCTAAGAATGCAAGTGGAAGCTAGGACAGACATGGGACAGGCACTGGACAGTGTTTCACTACTTAACCCGGGTTGATTAACAACACCGTGACTTTAGGAAAGCTTATTGCAAGTTTGTGTGGCAGCCTTAGCATGTTACTTAGGACTTACATAAGACTCTCTCTTTTTGTGGTAGATATTACCTTGGGGTCCTGTTCTATAGCCTGAATGGACCAGAGGGCCCAGAGATAAGGGCAGATTCCTAACCATAATGTGTTCAAACTCAGTGGGTCTAAGGGGAAGAGATGGATGTTTACAATCCTATGTGTGACGAATGCCTGATGTATACATTCTTACATAATCCTTGGAACATCCAACTAGGACTTTTTAGGCCCATTTCACAGGTGGGGAAACTGAGTTTCAAGAGATCGAGAAGTGACCTGCCCAAGATCACAACCTGATCAGGGAGCACTTTCCAACTCATCTGTGTAAAATACTGTCTTCCACCGGATTTCCTTCTTCATTCCTTCCCACCAAAATACATCTCCCTTTTCCAGAGTATCTGTGGCCTGAAACAATATTATGAGCAGGGAGGGCTATTCACTTTTAAGCAGCTAAATCCATCATTATGCCTCTGGATTCAGATTACCAAAATGTTGTGGAACTACCCACTATACTTTTTAAATATACATTCTAAAAATTAAGTTTTAACAGACATACAGAAAAGTACACAGATTATAAGTGTTCAGATTAATGACTTTTTATAAACTAAACATACCTAGATAACCACCACCAGATCAAAAAAATGGAAACCCAGTTATATTTTAATTCTTAAGATTCTTTTGTTTGTTTTTGCCAATATGAACCTCTGGTTAGAAGTATCTTATAACTGACCTGTCATAACATTTGTGCCACCCAACTCTGTCACAGCAATATTTGAAAATCCCCAGAATGCTGGGTAGTAACAAGTCAGCTAATGAATGAGTCAGTCACTGATAAGCCGTGTCTACAAATGGTCCAGAACTGCAGAGGGGACTTCAGGAAAGAGAGAACAGTAACTCCTGAGAGGACTTAGGAGCGGAAGAGTCGTGGAATTTTACAGCTCATCTCATAAGTGGAGCTCAGGGAGGTTGAAGAGATTGCCCCCAACCTCACAACAAGGAAGCAGGACCAGCAAGCAGCTACACACACGCACACATCCGCGAGTACACACGCACACACGCACGCACGCATGCACACCCCAGATGCATGCTGCTCTCTGACAAGTCCCCATTGAAATGGATCCTGACCAGGAAGGAAGCCATTGGCAATACTGTCTGCACAGGACCAGTGATGTCACCACCCATGGTCACCACTCACAAACACTACCCACCAGCTCTAGGGTTTGGTGCCCTACACCCCAAATGCCCAGGTGCCCTCCCTCCCCCATTTTGCTCTCAAGTGGGTCACTGGCAAAGAGACAACGCTGTTCACCCACCATGGCCTGTTGGGAAAGTTGCTGGATAAAACTAAACCCTGTCTGTGGCCAGAATATGTCGTGAGCGAGGATCCCATTCAGCACAGCCTCTAGTCTCCCCAGACTGCGAAGACCGAGGGACTAAGCCAGCTGTGCCACTTCCCAGCCACCATACCACAGGCGGGTCTAACAGCCTCCCAGGCTTGTGATGTGCAGCCCAAGCTAGGAGAGGCTTGGCAAATGGCATAGCACTGCTTCATGACCATGTTTATCCAGCAGCTCCTATGGGCTGGGTTGGTGCTAAGTGCTGCACACGGATCTCATTTTCCCCCTTGTAGCTCATGGGAGAGGTGCTTCTGTTCTCCCCATTTTCCAGATAAAGGATCGTAGGCTCAGAGAAGCTAAATAACTGCTCAGGGTCACACAACCACGTAAATGATGGGGCCTTATTCCGAGCAGGGAAGAGCTGGTCTAAACTACGTGGCCTGGCTGCTGCTGGTAACCAGTCAGCCAGTCTGCTGTGTGCCAAGCATTGTTCTAGGCGCCGGGGAGACAGCCGTGAGCCAGTGGGTGCAGCCTACACCCTCACAGAGCTGACGGTTCTTGAGCAGGATCCTCTGGGGAAGAATTATCTTGGAAATTTGTGTTTCAGGAACTTTCAGAGAAAGGCTTTCCCCCCAAATTGTGCCCCAGCTTCCTCTTTATCTTTGAAGCTCCCCCCCCCCCCCAGCCCTCCAAGCTTTTCCCGCGGGGAGATGACGGCTGAGAGCCAGGTGTACCTGAGCTTGTGTGTAGCCTTTGCCCTATGAATAAGGAACTCACTGAGCAGTCCGCTCCCTTAAAGCACCTGCCCATCCTCACGTCCCCCGGCCTCACACCCTGCAGTCTCCCCGTTCCACCCCAGCCCTGCTGGTGGGAGAGGACAGGTGTGGGCCCAGAGGCTCTTCAGCTGAGGGACCCACCTCCATCCTGGCACACCTTGTCGGGCCAGCCGACAGCACTCAGGCCAGACTGACAAGAAAGTGGGGGGCTGGGGGGTACGGCCACCCTGCTCACACAGCCCTGCCACCTCACGTGGCCTCGTGTCTGTTATCCCCGACACCGCACACAAAGAGCCCGGTGCTGCTGCTGGCACTCAGCTGCTGGAGTGGGGAGGGCGAGCCCTGGTGAAAAGCTTTTCTGAAAGGCCAGGGTGGAGGCAGGAGTCACCCAGGTGATCCAGGCTGGTCCCCTGGGACCCCAGCCCAGGACCGCAGTGAAAGGTTACTGCTAATTGGCGAGCTCCTGATGTGGCTGCATCTATTTAGCACCCCCCTCCCCAGAGACTCCCAGGATGGTCTTGGCACAGCGTGTGATGCGAGAGCTCCCCGCCTGAGTCTGGCACAATCTGCCTGAAATTGTGAACATGGAGCCTCTTGGTTTTTTAATTTGTATGTTTGTTGTTGTCATCCCCTGCCCATTGTTTCTGGTAGGTTTGGTAGCAGCAGCCACCCTGACTCTGGTAGCCCCTCCCTGGGCCCTCCCCGTGGGCTCTTTCCACCCCTAGCCATCCCCCTCCATCTATCACCGGAGACCTTGCTGGGGTCAGAGAGCAGCGCTGTCCTGCCCCCGGCGCACTGCCCATCCTGAGGGCCCAGCTCTCACCCTGCCATCATCCCTGACACTAACACAGCTTGTCCACCCTGTCGCAGGGGGCAGATGGCCTGTCGGAGCCGGAGGGCATCTCTCTGAAGCGGGTCGCTGTGGTGGAAGATTTCTTTGACATCATCTACTCGATGCATGTGGAGAGCTCAGCGGAGCCAGGCAAAGCCCCCAAGCACGCTGGGCAGAAGAAAACCTACCGAGCGGTGAGATTTCTGCCCCTTGCCTCTGCTGGCAGCCCCAGGCCTTGGCAGGAGGCCATGGGCTCCGCACATGTTGGGGGGGGGGCGGGGCGGGGAACTGAGGCGTGATGAAAGGCCTTTGGGGACCCAGGGGGGCACAGGGCAAGGGCATGGCAGTCAGAGATGGCTCACAGGGCAGGGGGCGGGTTCTGTGGTCTGAGCACAAAGGAGAAGCAGGTTGAAGGGAGTGAGAGGGAGGGGAGGAGAGGGAGGGGGGCAGGAGGGAAGCCTTTCTCTCCCCATTTCTGCTTCACTCACCCCCCCCCCACCCCCACCCCCCCAGCCCTTCACAGCCTACTCTGCCACTCTGAGGGGCAGGGTTTGGTGTGGCTAGATAATAATAATCATAAGGGCAGATGCTTTCATGGCATTTACTGTGTACCAGGCCTGTCCTGAATGCTTTCTGTGTGTGAGTTTTTTTGATCCCCTGCCGCCCTGTGAAGTCGGTACTGGGAGTTCCCCAGAAAAAGTCTGAGGATCTGGTCCCCAGCCTCAAGGAAATCCGTTTGATTTGGGGTGGGGAGTTCTGAGAGAAAAACAAAAAAAACCGCACAGAGATGCCTCTAAAACTAGGAGGGAACAAGAGCCTAGGTACCTGGGTATTTAGCAAAGGTATCTCCAGATACTGTGCTAAGCCAGGGGCTTCATGAGAAAGGTGGATGGAAGCCAGCATTCTAAGCTGTGGGTAGGCAGAAGGGAGGAGAGACAGCTAGATTGCTAGGGGTGGGGAACGTCACATGGGGAGGTGGGAGGGATGGCGGCCTGAGCACTAGCACGAGGGGCCTGCCTGTGTTCTGGTTCCATCTCCCTCTTGACCCCCATCGCCATAGCTTATACACAGCTTCGAACCGTTTGTCCAGTGCCCACCACTGAACCAGGAAAGCCAAGCACTTCACGTTCATTTAAGCCTGACAGCAGCCCTGTGATGGGCTGTGGTCCCATTTCACAGTTAAGGAAACTGAGACCCAGAGAGTTCAGCTACTTGTCTAAGGCCACACCGCACCTGAGTGGTAGTCAGCCAGTGTCCTCATGCCCCCCTCTGTGTTGGCTTCCTCATTGGCTTCCTGGAGACCTGCCCCTCTGGGACCAGGCTTCCCCACCGAGGCAGATACGACACCCCTCCTACCCCAAGTTCTTTGTCTAGATAGCCGTGGACTGCAGGGGAGGTGGCCTGTGTAAGTCTGTACTTTCTCCATCTGGCCTGATTTTTTAAAAACCCAACCATCTGCCCTGGCTGGATGGCTCAGCTGGCTGGAGTGCTGGTTGCGAGTTCAGGGGAGCGTACAGGAGGCAACTGATCTATATTTTTCTCACGTCATTGTTTCTCTCTCTCTCTCTCTCTCTCTCTCTCTCTCTCTTTCTCTCTCTCCCTCTTTCTCCCCTCCCTCCCTGTCTCCCTTCCTCTCTCTCTAAAATCAGTAAAAACATATCCTCCAGTGAGGATTTTTTTAAAAATCCAGCCCTAGCCAGTTGTTCAGTGGTTAGAGTATCTGCTTGTGGACTGAAGGGTCTCGGGTTCAATTCCCGATGAAAGGCACATACCTCAGTTGCAGGTTCAATCCCTGGCCCCTATTGGGGCGTGAGGGAAAGGCAATAAATCGCTGTGTCTCTAACACATCAATGTCTCTCTCTCTCTTCCTCTCTCTCCCTCCCTCCCTCCCTCCCTTCCCTCCCCTGTCCCTTCCACTCTCTGAAAATCAATGGAAAAAATATCCTCACTTCTCAGGTGAGGATTAAAAAAAGAAAAGAAAATCCAACAATCTGCTGTGTCCTTGTCCTCAGAAGATGGCCTTTGCCCGAAGTGAGTCTTAAGGACGGACCCTTGTGCCAAGGACCTTAGAGAGATGAGGGTTCGGGCTGAGGGAAGCAGGAGATTATTATACCATCTGGCCCACCTCTCCTGCTTCTCAGCACATGTGGGAAAGTTGTGGGAAGGGAGCTGTGAGGGTATTTCCACCAGAGGGTCCTGGGCAGAGGGAGGGCCACCCAGGCTGGGGCCAGTGTGGTATCGATGAGACCCAGCACATTTGCTCAGCGTTAAATTTGCCCGTGCCGGGCAGGTAGCATATGCCAGGCCCCGTGCTCAGCACTTCCCAGGCACCAGCTCTTGGTGCTGTTACCCCATTTTGCAGACAAGAAAAATGAAGGTCAGAGAGATGTGGAATCTGCCTGAGGTTGCCCAGTTGACATGCAGAGCAAAGTAGCTGGCCCCAGAGCCTGCACTCTGAGCACTACACAGCCTGCCTTTCTTCAAACCCCTGTGGTCAGCTTGTAAGGCCAGTGACTTGCTGCTGTCCAGGCAGATGGGCAGGAGCCAGCCAGACCATGTGATTTCCCTGGTTCCCTTGGTGTCCAGCACCACGCCTCACCTGCAGGCACCCCCTGGCTGTTTATGAAGGCCAGGGGCTGTGGGCTCCATGCTCTGGAGAGGGCAGAGCCAGGCTGGTATTGGCAGCATTTGTGTCCCTGGGCCAAGCGGCCGTCCAGGCTTTGCTCTGCATTTCCTGGCTTCTCGGCCATATGCCCGCCGCGTGCCCCACTTCCCGCTGCCCAGCCTGGAGCTGGCACATGACTGGCAGTGAGCCAGCTGGGCTGTGCACAGAGCTGGAATTTCAGCAGCGGGGCCAACGCTGAGTGGAACAGGCCAGGGCCCTCCTGCAGTGGGTGTGAGGCCAAGGAGGCTGCCGCACCCCCCTCCTCCCTGTGTGTCTCCTCTCCCTTCCCCCTCTCCCCCATCTGTCACCCTTCTCCATGCCACCCTTTCCCTTCTGGGGGTGGGGGTGGTGCCTGGATGTTTTTGTCCCCCTCTTTTCATCTGCCATTTCTTTCATCCAAGCCTAACTCTTCAGGCTCACTAGTGGACCTGCCCCGCCCGACCCGGACCTGGGGACAGGGAGCTCCCAGGAAACTGTGCTGATGGCTGCAGAGGGGACAGCCTGGCACCACAGGGTTGGTGTCAGGCTCTTGGCTGAGGTGTTTGGGGACCTGTCTCTCTGTGTTTTGCCAAACCTGAATCCTGGGACTGCCTTATCTCCAGGGCAGCTGGGACTTTCGGATCCTTACAGGCCTGGGGTGCCTGCGGGAGGCAGGGGGCTGGAAAGGAGATGGGTCAACTTGCTCAGGGCATTGAAAGAGGCGCATTCTTCAGAGGGAAAAAGAACTTTCTGGCACCTACCACTGTTCAGCAGTGGATCAGGATCAGGTAATGAGCTTTCTGAAGCTGGAGGTATATGAGCTAATGCAGGGGGATTCCCACCTTGGGTAGGAAGCCTGGGCCTTACTTTTTGCCTCTGATGCAGTGTGACTTGAGGGCCAGAGGATCCCAGGAGGTCTTGCCAATGCCGGGGCCTGGGGAGGTTTCCATGCGGTTCTACAAAGTTCCCTGGACCCACATTGAGGACTGGTCCTTTCTCAAGGGGGCTTTTCTGGGGCCTGCACCCATCTGGGTCAGAGTGAGCCCGTTCGCTTCCTCCCTCGCCCCCAGGGTGCTGGTAGGCAAGATCAGGTTCCAGAATCCGGATCTGGATGCCCAGACGACTTTGGAGTTGGGGCCAGATGTGGTCAGTAGCTACTCCAGGTCCACCACGTGCTAATCCACCCACGGGGCAGAAGGAGGATCTTGTAAAGTGGTGCAAATCCCCCCAATTGGCCTCATCTGTCTTAGTCTCCGGCCTCCGAGTTGGGGAGCGAAATGGAGCCTTACAAGTCAGCGACTCTGTAAATAGCTTCTGCTCTTCCTGCCAGCAAAATCTCCCTTGGTTTTTATCACTAGGAAGAAGGTAAGAGGCACATTCACATGTAAGTGCCAGGGTCCAGGCAGCAGGCCCCCAAGGCAGCTGAGGGAAGCTAAGTGGAGACAGGGGTCCTGGAGCTTCCCCTCCTTAAACACAGCAGCTCTATCTTTATCTGTTTCATGTTTTGGACTTCAGCATAAGAGTCTATTTCTGAAAACCACCATCCTACTGACTAGAGCATCCGCTGGGATTGTCCTTCTCATTTTAACTCAACCTGTGATCCTGTGGCCTTGGACGTCTGTGCATCAAACAGAAATGGAGGTTCCATTTCTCGTGTGCACAAGCCAGGAGGGTGCACCAAAAGATGCCCGCAAAAGGTCGCAGGCCCCACTGGGGGAAGCATCCTCCACGCGGGTCCCTACAGCAGTGCAGAGCTGGGCTGACTCCCCAGGGAGCTCTTAGCAAGGCCACAGACATTCTAGCCATGCAAGACAGGGCTTCCTCCCTGGTCTTCAGACAGCTCGAAGGACCTCTCCCCTATCTGCCTCCGGCCAACCCCTTCTTCCCGCTGTGGAACACAGGGTCAAAGGGGGGTGCACCAGCACGCCCCCTGCATGTGGCGCTCCAGCCAGCCTTTGCATACTGCTGGGTCTGCAAGGCCAGGAGAGCTGGGGCCACCGTTCTGGCCTGTGTCAGAGCCCTCTCTGGGGACCATTCCTGTACTCTCAGCGGGCCAATGGACAGCCCTCAGCAGAACAACCAGGCAGGAAGGCCCTCTCTGAGCCGTATAAAAATGGTTTCAGTGGCAGCGAGCTCCATGTGGAGAAGTAGGGCTGTCCCTATGGTCTGAACCTCCCTTCGTTTTCCCAGCAGACTGCAACCCTCCTCCCCAAGTCCTCTGCTCAGCCGTTCTGAGGTCTGGCCAGGAATACCATGCCTCGGGGCACCTACAAGGTCATCTGGTTGGCCCAAGTTAGCCATAGCCCTCTGCTTTACTCCTACAGCCACTGGCCCTTCCGCAGGCCCATCCCTCCCAACCCTGCAGCCCGAGAGGGATGTTCTTCCCCTAAGACTTCCAGGCAGCTTTGGGCTGGGATGAAGATGTTCATGTGGGTGGCAGGGAAGCTCCCATCTCTCAGCCCTGACATCTAAGAAGGCCTGGTGCATGGCTGACCACCACCTTCCCACCCACCAGCTCCAATCAGAGATCAGGGTTTTGCCCTTGTCCCTGACCTCCAAAGAAAGGCAATCAAGACAGGGAATTTGGAAGGGAGATAACTCATCAAGAAGCCTGCCTGCTCCGCAGAGCATCAAATCAGCTGAGAAATAACAATTGTGTCACCAAAATTAACTCTGCTTTTGCAGCCAGCTGCCAGGCAGGAGTGGTCCCTGGTGCTCCACAGGCTGGCTGAGCTGGGAGCACAACGGAGCTGGTCCTCCTAGGGCCTGGCTGCAGCTTGGGGTGCCCTGGACCTCCTACATCCCCACCTCCCACCTCATCCATCCACTCCGCCCTACACTACCCAGCCCCCTGGCCACCACAGAGATGGAGGGGCTTTGTGCATCCCGAAGGAGCAGCCGGGCCAACTTTCCCAGCTGGGTTGCAGCGAGGACTGTGGAATGCTGGGGCGATGCTGCCCCTTAGTGGAGAAGAGTGGGAGGGCCTGGGCTCTGGGAAATGGGTAAAAACCAGCAACTGGGCGGCTATGGGCCTCAGCCAGGGAACCTGGGCCTCAGAGGTCCTTCTGGACCCCTCAGGCAGCCAAACCAGGGCCGGTGGGTTTCCCAAAACCCAGAGCAAGAGGAGAGGGGTGGGCCAAGGAGCCCACCTTCCCCACGCCCCACCCAGCTTCCCTCCTGTGTCCTCTCCCATGCCCCCCCTTCTCTTCTCCCTAGCTAGGGGAGGCCCCCTGGAGGCCGGTATGGGGTGGTGTGACCTGAAACATGGGCTTCAGCCTGGCACTGCCTCTCGAGAGCTGTGTGACCTTGGGACAATAGGTTCACCTCTCTGGGCCTCGTGACCTAACTTGGAACATGGGGGTCCTAAGAGTCTGTCCTGTTTGAAAAATCTGGTCCCTTGGCATCAGCCTTTCACAGCTCTCCCTAGAAAGGTTCTTGATCTGTGAGTTTTCGCAGAACCTTGGCCCAGAGCCTGTAGATTTATAAAAGGGTCTCAGTTTATCCATCTCCGGGAGGGGAAATTGTTTCATCCTACCCTAGAGCGATGCTCATAAGCTCATTTCTCAGTAATGGTAATAAAATGTTCTGAGAGGAATATTACTAGAATATAGGTTAAAGACTAGGTAATGTTTAAATGCTTTGCTTTTTTAATTTTATTCAAATTTTTAAAACAAATTTTCTGCAAAAGTACTGACTCATTTCCATGACTGAGAATCAAGGACATCTGCCCCTTGCTCCTCAGATCCCTGCCCTTCCTGGCAAGGGCCAAGGGCCTGCCACCAAGTGCAAGCACAGCCCTGTTGACGGGGTGACTGAGCGGCTCCCCACGGATCCATATAACAAGCGAACCTCCTCTCCCCCCAGATTGCGGAGACGTACGCCTTCCTTCCACGGGAGGCTGTGACCCGGTTCCTGATGAGCTGCACAGAGTGTCAGAAGAGGATGCACTTTAATTCCAACGGCCTGGAGCCCAAAGGTAGGGGAGGAGGTGGGCGGGCCGGAGGCTGGCAGGTGCTGGGGCTGTGCAGGGAGAGGCTCTCCCACCAGCAGGGCCAGCACAGACAGAAAAGTGCACGTCCAGCCGTTGTCACAATTCCCAGAGGCTGGTGTGAGTCCATGGGGCTGCCCAGAGAGCCTTGTTTTTTATTTGTTTGTTTGTTTTGTTACTCTTCACCCGAGGATATTTTCCCATTGATTTTTAGAGAGCGTGGAAGGGAGTGGGGAGAGACAGAGAGAAAGAAACATTGATGTGAGAGAGACACATCAGTTGGTTGCCTCCAGGATAGAGCCTGCAACTGAGGTACATGTCCTTGACCGGAATCGAACCCAGGACCCTTCAGTCCGTGGGCTGATGCTCTATCCACTGAGCCAAACTGGGCAGGGCTGTTGGTTTTTTTTAAGGCAAGTTTCACTGAAAAACAAATAGTACATCCTGACTGCACTTCCGGGCACAGGCCACAATTCTTCTCCCACGAGGCTCTGGATGGAAATGCCCCCTCGCCTGCCCCATTCCCTAAGCTCTGTAATTCTTCCACCCAGGTCTCTCCCTCAACAGTGTCCCCTGGGTTTGGTCTTGCTGACCCAACTGTAAGCTCTCAGAGGACAGGAGCACAGCCCTATCCTGTAGCCACCCAACTGCCAGCAGTAGGTCTACTCTAAGTGTTTGTCTCTCCTTGTGTACAAATCGGAAATCTAGGGGGATTGGTTAGAATTTAAAATGCCCAGAGCCCTTGTGACCAGCCCTGTTGGTCCCTTGGACCGACATCCATGATGTCCAGCTCTGCCGACACAGTGAGAGGCAGCAGAGACCCCCACTAATGGCGTCCCCCACACGCCGAACCCCAACATCCCGGAGGCCTCCAGGAAGTCCCAGGGCCATCTGTTCACGGGCGGCTTAGGCACAGTGAGATGGGCCAGTGCATGTGGCGGATGTGGTATAACTTGCCCTGAGAAATGGTGCCCACGTGGGCGATTTCTCAGGGCTTCTAGGCTGCTCCTGGGCATCAGGCCTGCACAGGTTGCTGCAGTCCATGGGTGTTTTGCCTGAGGATGGGAATAGACTCAGAATGAAGGGTGAGCAGTTTACTCAGGTGCCATCCGACAAGTCTGGAAAGAGAAAACCAAGAATGAAGCCCAAACAGGTGACCCAGAGGAACTGGAGCGCAGGAGTAGAGTGGAGTTTCCCTCACTTTGGTTGTCCCTGCGGCACATGAACATCAGGGACAGCTTCTGACACCGGCCAACTCATCAGGTGCAGAGGCTTTTCTGCCCGTGGGGGCCGACAGGCCACCGCTGCTTCGTCAGGTACATCAGAGAGCTTCTAAAGCTTGAGGGACAGGAACAAATCTAGTTAATCCCTCATAAATGCCGTGTTCCCGGTTTAAGAGCAGGGCCTCCAGGCCACGCTGGATGAGTTAAAATCTCAGCTCTGCAGCTCAACAGATGTGTGTCCTGAACAAGTGACTTCATCTCTCTGAGTCTCAGTTTCCTCATGTGTAAAATGGGTTAATAATGGTAGTCACCTCTGGGGCTGATGAGGTTTGAGAGTTAATTGCTGTTCCTGGCGCAGGGCTACCATGCCCAGGAGGGGTGACCTGTGGCTGTTGCCGTTGTTGTGATAACCCTGGATGCTAGAGTGAGGCCCCTGCGCCATGCGGCTGGCCGGGCTGACTGGCTGTAGCCTCTGGGCCCAGACAGCAGTTGGTACCTGCAGATGGTACTAGAAGGGCTTTTCCTGCTGCACTCCCCACCCTGCCCGGGCCTGGGCCCCAGGGGTGCCCACCCATCCACCTGTCCTCTCCTGTTCTGTCCTAATTGTTTCCATAGCAACTGGGGTAGTCAGATACAGAATCTGTTCGCCTGGGGGAACAGAGGCAAGGCCAAGAGGGGCCTTTTGTGGGCTGCTCGGTATCTGCAGGCTCCATCTCTGCTGCTCCCTTGCTCTCTGCTGGTGTGGAGAACATTCTCACCTCCCCCAGTCCTCAGAGACGGCTGCGAGGTCTCCAGGGCTGCAGTTCCACTCCTCATCTGTGGGCTTCCGCGTGGCCAGGAGGGCGATGCTAGCACAGCAGCAGCCTGTTTTTTCGTAGCTGCCATCACCGTGCCTCCACCCCAGGGTAGAAGGAGGGGGAGAAGGAAGGGAGGGAGGTGGGGAGGGAGAGAGCACACAGCCGGAAGGAGCCGCCTCGAATATAAACCAGCTCTGTGCGCTCTGGGCTGGAGCCTCTCTTCCCAAGGGCTTGCTCCAGGCAGGACCGAGGGCAGACAGAGGGAGGCTGTGCCTGCTCATCCTGGCCTGTCCTTGGGTGGAATGCCACTTCTCTGTCCCCAGGAGCGGAGCTTTCCCGGCAGGGAGAACAGGAGACACTGGGGAAGCAGGAGACGGGGCGCCCGTGGAAGGGCGTGAGCTTGGCCTTGCCTCTGTTCCCCCCGGCAAACAGATTTCGTATCTTACTACTCAGTTGCTGTGGAAACAATTAGGATGGAACAGGAGGGCACAGGTGGATGAGTGGTCACCCCCGGGACCCAGGCCCAGGCAGGGTGAGGAGTGCAGCTGTGTGTCCCTCAGCCGGTTAGAGGACCTCTCTGAACCTCACCTGCTCATCACAGCTCCTAGGAGCCTGGGAGGTATCTGTCCCGGTTCACAGCTGAGGAAAGGAGGCATGGAGGGGTGTCATGGTGAAATCACTTGTCCAAGGTCCCCCAGAAGGCAAGAGAATTTATCTTCTCATCAGCACTTCCCTCCTGGGGCTATTGTAAGGACTCAGTTGAATTAAACAACCGTGTTCTGTAGGGCGCCTGGTGCAGTGGGAACATCAGCCTGGACCCCATGTTGTTACACATGGAACCCAGACACAAGACTGCCAGTGTCCAGGTGGTCCCACAGGGAGACACACAATCAGTCACCCCACCCAGGTGAGCACCCTGGGTCCACAACCTGGACGCTGGGCAAAGGGAAGGGAGGGTTTGCTCCTGGCAGCTGCCAGAGGAGAGTCTTAGACTCTGAAAAGCTTCCCTGTGTGCTTAATGGCCAGAGGCATTAGCCGCCTGGACCACCCAGGCCAGCTGGCAGGTTCTCCTTTCTCCTGCCCCAGCTGAGAGCCTGGGGATCCTATCTCTGCCCGCCACGCCGGCCTCTCTGGATGCACTCAGCTGCACCTACCGCTTTCACAGGCACCCCTGCCAGGCCAGCCCTGCCCCCTCCCTCTCCCACCCGCCCACAGGGAAATCAGAGCCTGCATCTGGCCACAGAGGCCAGCCCTGTGTTCCTGTCCCAGGAAGGTGGGGCAGGAGGGGGACAGGGAACAGGATGGAGAGTTCTTGAGGGGCTGCTGGGAGAACGCCTCGCTTCCTGGCCGAGTGTTAAAAAGAAAGAAAGGAAGCCAAGCAGCCTTCCCTGCTCAGCAGTTTGTCCCCGGCCGAGTGTGGGGGCCTGGACAGCCCCAGGTCCTCCCCCAGCACCAGAAGCACAAACAAAGGAGTCTGCTGAGGATCAGGAAGTCCGAGGATGGGAAATTCCAGGGCCTCCCAACTCCACGCTCTTCCCCTACCAGCTCCTGAGCAAGTCCAGGGGGAGAGGAGACAGAAAATGAAAACTGGTCTCTGGAGGCACGCTTCTGTTTCCCCTGATGTGACAAAATATTGTCTGCACGGCTGCAAACTAGGAGTTAGCACTGGGCAGTGCCAGTTACCTACAGAAAGGTTCCTTCCTCCACAGCAGAGCCGTCCACTCAGAAGGAGGCTGCTTGGCAGCCAGACCCAGACTCCTCTGTGTGGTTTCCAACCCCTCGGGCCTGGCTCCTCCAGGTGCCCCGCTTCCAGCCCGTTCTCCGCCTGTGCAGAGGCTCCGTGCTGGCCTGTCCTCCCGGCTCTCGTCCTCACTTGCTGGGTGGCATGGGAGATTGCCCGGCCTCTCCACGTGCTGTTGACTCTCCTGTAAAAGGGGTATTAATGCTAGTCCCCACCCCAGGGAGTGCTTGGGAGCAGCAAGCAGAAGGGTCTGTGGAGCTCCTCGCGAGTGCTCAGTAGCTGTCAGCTGAGTGCACGCAAGTCCTGTTCAGACCCTCTCTCCACAGAGCTGCCTTGAGTGCCCAGACTGTACCTACAGGGTTCCCCCACCTTCCCCACCCTGAATGCTCACACATCAGCGCTCCTTGAGGACTTGCTGGTCCACTGATTTACTTCTTCCCGAAGAGTTTTTTTCGTCGCCTTCTAGGTTGGCCTCAGGCCTCGATCTCTCTTTCCATATCTGAGACCCATGACAGGCTGTCTGGTCTCAGGGCTCCTGTGTGCCAGGCCTTCGTCACACATGTCCCTCAACACCCCGCCCTGCCTGGGACAGCTCCTGCCACTGGCTCCCAGAACCATTCCTTACGTGACGCTCATGAGAACTGCCACCTTGTATTCCACCTTCAGGTGAAATTTTCACCCATTAATGAATGCCACTGGTGCCCAGCTGTGGAGGTCAGAGCTCAGCTCGGCCTGTGTGGCTTGGCCTCGGTGAAACCTCTGCATCGCTGATGACTTTCAAGGCCTGTAAAACTAGGTCTTGCGCTTGGGCTGGTTTCCATTTCCCTTGGCAAGGAGGTGTTGTGTTGAAACGTTTCTTTGGGTGGTTCCTCTGCCTCTCTCCCCAGCAGCCTGACTGATTATTTCGGCTCCGTGACCCTTGCTAGCTCCTAACTCACCAGTGGTATCGGATTATTTGTGGCGGCTGGAGCATGGCCACTGTGTGTGTTGATCACAGCAGGGGCCTGTCCTGTCTCAGCAGAGCCCAGGAAGCCGCTTGTCCATGTTCACGTGTCTGTCTCAGCTCATCCCCCATCCTGGCATTTATCTCACCTGTGAGCGCCTGACCCCTCCACAGAGCTCCCACTGGCCCCTGCTCCTTATCTCTTTCCCACTAAGCTGATCCTCTCTGTGGGGGCATTTATCACCTCCAGAGCCATGGGGCTCCCCACTGTTCTGTGCTGTGGCTGAGTTCTGACCTCCCACAACCAGCTCCCTGGCGCATTCCCTCACCTGGAATGTCCCCTGCCCGCCAAGGTCCTGCCTCCCCCACAGAAATCTCACTTCTGGAACTGCCGACGTGAGCATTTCACTGCATACTGACCTCTGATGGCTGTGTGTGTGCTTCAGGATGTCCCCTCTTTCCCAGACGAGGGCTCCCACCTCTTCTCTGTGAGCCCTCCAGGCTCGGCTCTGGGCACCAGAAGCAGTTTCTGATCTGTGGACATGCTGGGAGGGAGCAGGCCAAGGAAGACCCCTTCTCCAGCCTCCCACAGTGCCATCCCAGCTATCGCTGTTTTTGTTCTAACCAAGCTGTACCTGACTTCATTAAAGAGACTTTCTCATAAGCAGCTGTGGCATTTCAGGGTGACCAAACACTGAGTCACCGTGACACTGGGTGCAGCCTGCATTTGTGGCTCTGACCAGGGACCCTGCTCACAGACCATGTTGTCTAACAGCTTTTCACCAGAAACCCCGTCTTTGGGGAAATGAAATGGAAATGGCAGAATTCTCCCTTCTAAGACCCATGATCTGGCAACGGGAGCCATGGCTTTTTTGAGTGACACCATCTCAGTGTTGTCGCTGGGCTGTCTGCCTCACATACTGCATCTGCCTCCTGTCGAATTTGGGGGGCCAGGTCGTCTGGGTTGACGGTGGGACAGCGAGGAGAAGAGGCTGCGAGGACACTGGAGCACACCTCCGTTCCCCACCGCGCTGGGGTCTGTGCCAAAGGGTCATGTGCATCTGTGTCAGAGAGCCCTTCTGCCACCAAACCAAGAGGAATTCTCTGAAAAAAAAGTTTGATCCATTCAAGTGTCTGACACATTCTATGTTAGTGACATTTACCTCTTCCTCAAGAACAAAAATCTTCATCAAAGAACACAAAAACTGACCCTAGTCAGTTTGCTCAATGGGTAGAGCATTGGCCTGCAGACCAAAGGGTCCCGGGTTCGATTCCGGACAAGGGCACGTATCTCGGTTGCAGGCTCCTCCCTGGCCCGGGCCCTGGTCGGGCGTGTCCGTGTGTTTCTTTCACATTGACGTTTCTCTCAGTCTTTTCCTCTCTCTTCCACTCTCTCTAAAAGCTCAATGGAAAGATATCCTCAGGGGAGGATTAACAAAAAAAACACGCACACACACACAAAAAATTATGTGTGTGACAACAAAAAGCTAAACAAAGCTCTTTTATACAATTTGATAAGAAATGTTATTTAGACTGCGTGTTCACCAGATGTACACGGCCTCGAAATAGCACCCCTAGTCTCCGGGCCCCGTCTGCAGGGACCCCATTTTCTGCAGGCCTTTCTGTCCTGGCCAGCAAGGAGCCTCCCTTCTCCCCTTAGGTGTCCCTCCCCCTTATTTGCAGGGGCCTTGCTTTCCTTATTCTGGTAAAATATTTATAATGTAAAACTAGCCATTTTAATGATTTCAAGTGTACAATTTAGTGGCATTGGTTCTTTTCACGTGATTGAGCAACTACCACCACTATCTATTTCCAAAACCTTTCATCACCCCAAACAAACTGTGTGCCCATGAAGCAATGACTTCCCATCCCCACCCCCACCCCTCATAACCTCAATCCTGCTTTCTCTGTGACGGTGTCTGTCGTTGATATCCCATCGAAGTGGAATCACACAGTAGTTGTCCTGCTGTGTCCGGCTTCTTTCACTCAGCGTAGTGTTCTCAAGCTCGCAGGGGCTTCCGGCCTGGGCTCCGGCGCTGGAGCAGCAGGTTTAGCAAATCCCCTTGGAGAGCCTCTGCATTCCGCCACCTGGGCCCTATCACTTGCTTCATCTCCAGCCCATCTCTTGGTGGTGATGGTGGAGGGCAGGCTTCGGCTAGTCCCAGTGTCGTTCGGACACTCAAGTCCCAGGGGGAACTTTGGCCTGGAGTCCTGGAGGCAGGAGCTGGAGGCCAGAGAACAGGTGACCAAAACTGTTTCCCCAGGGAGAGGGTGAAAGCAGGGTCAAGTGACTAAATGACTAAGTGAGATGGGTCCCAGCAGGTGGCTCCAGGACTTCAAGCTTGGTCACAGCAAAAGACATCCAACGCGGGTCCGGGACTGGGGAGAAGTGACAGGCTCTCTTTTAACCATGCTTGCTGTCTTCCTTGACTTATTCCTGCGCCATTTTCATCTGCCCTGTGTGCCACCCACAGGGCCACCTGAGATGCAGTGTCCATTGGCTGGATTGTCCATGGCAGCAGCCTTTGAAGAAGGCAGCTCAGCCAGAGATTTTAAGAGTTACCGAATATTCCTGCCCTTCAACCCATGAATTCCATTTCTTGGAATTTGTTTTAAAAAGAAAATGATCAGAAATTTGGAACAATACCCACACACAAATATGTTTCTTGCAGTGTTGTTTATAATCGCCAACAATAGGAAACAACATAAATAGTCATTCATAAGGGAATAACTTAAGGAAACTATGGTAAAATAGTACACAGCTATAAAGATTACATTTGTAGCCCTAACCAGTTTGGCTCAGTGGATAGAGTGTCGGCCTGCGGACTGAAAGGTCCCAGGTTCGATTCCGGTCAAGGGCATGTACCTTGGTTGCCGGCACATCCCCAGTAGGGAGTGTGCAGGAGGCAGCTGGTCGATGTTTCTCTCATCGATGTTTCTAACTCTCTATCCTTCTCCCTTCCTCTCTGTAAAAAAATCAATAAAAATATATTTTAAAAAAATTACATTTGTAAAGCAAAACAAGATTTTTATTTATTTTTGTTAATCCTCACCCAAGGATATTTTTCCATTGATTTTTAGGGAGAGTGGAAGAGAGAGGGAAAGACAGAGAGAATCATCGATGTGAGAGAAACACATCAATTGGTTGCCTCCTGCACACACCCCAACCAGGGCCTGGGCTGGGGAGGAGCCTGCAACCAGGGTATGTGCCCTTGACTGGAATCAAACCCATTGGTCCGCAGCTGACGCTCTATCCACTGTGCCAAACTCGACAGGGCCAAAACAAGATTTTTGATCGTGAAGGAAATGCTTATGACAAAATGTTAAACAAAAAAAAATTTTTTTAAAGCAAACTACAATTTTCTGTGTGCATTCTGATATCAAGGACATAAAGAAGAGAAATCACAGGGGGGAAAATAAACAGAAGCATATGCCAAGCTGCTTAGTGCAATTATGGGTTTTTTTTATTTTTTCTTTACATCTTTCCACACTTTGCAAATGCTCTACAAAAAGAACACACATTACTTTGATCTTTAGGACAACAAAGCAATAAATGGGAGGAACAATGTTCCATGTGATAAAGGAGGAACCAGAATTTTGGGTGTGGAGGCCCAGAGCTGTGAGCCATATGGTACCTGACAGTGCTTTTGGGGGATGCGGTGGGGGTAGGAGACGGGTTGGCGGGGGGAGGGTGGCATGTGTGCACCACGAAGAGAGCTGGCTTAGCTCGAGGTTGGAAACATAAATGCCTTCAAGGGCCTGGCCAGTATCATAACGGAGTGAAAGTGAACAATACAATAGGGAGTGGTGGGGACTGTGGCAAAATGGAGAGCTCACACCCTCTAAAAGCAGCGGCTGCTGCCCAGCTGCAGTGGTTGGTGTGGGAATATGGGCCCGGTGTGTCCAGACCTTCCGTTTTTCAAAGCCAAATATCCCTGAGTTTTTAAATGTGAACTCTCTTATTAAACACCGGCACCTAATTGAAAAATATTTTCAGTGGCATGCAGTCCGCATCTACGGGCCAGTCATGGTGGGCGAGCTGCCCAGGTGTGGCCTCTGGCCCGTTCTTTCCTTCTCACAGGCTGTGTTGAGTTCTCCATGGGGGTGACAGGGTGTGCTGCCCCGTGGCCCACAGCGCAGACTGAAAGGAGTTCCTTTTGTTCTTTCTGCCAGAAAACGAGCCTCCCTCTCCTCTGGTCTCTGGGATTATTGATTACAACATGCCCCTCACCTCCACATACCTGAAGCAGATGAAGTTGCGCGTGATGAATTCCCAGGAGCAGGTAAGTCTCCCGTCTCCCCTCACCCCCCCTGGAAGCGTCCTAACTTGCCTGGATGTGGCTGATCCTTCCCAAGATGTGGGGCCACCGCCTGTGTAAACACACTGGAAATCAAAGAGGCCCTTATCTGGTTATCTGGGCCGTGCCGGGGCTGAGAGGGGAGGGAAAGAATGTGCTCCTAGTTAAAGGGTCTGCTGGGCAGACAGCCCTGCTGGGTCTCCAGTGAAACCCAGGGAGCTCAGGCTTCACAAAACTTTCCCCGAGGGCAGGGCAGGGAGGGGGAGGCGCGAGCTGCAGACCTTGGCTCTTGGGTGGTTCTGTCTCTGCTCTGCCCTTTGTCTGCTACTCCTCTCCCCAGGGAGACGAGGGAGGAGGGGCCCTGCCTGCCAGCCTGTGGCCTCTGTCACTCTTGGGGCCCAGACAGGCCAGGAGGATGGGCCCTGGCGGGTGGCCCGAGTCAGATAAGGCCCTGGCTGTCCAAGACTCCCCGGCTGTGGATTGCCAAGGGCTGTCAGGCACCGTGGAAACAGGCTATTAAAAGAAAGCCACTCTTGCCTCCCTCCCCGCACAGTACACCTTCTAGCCCTTTGCAAAGCCAGTAGCCTGACTGTCTCTCAAAGGGGGGCAAGTGAGCGCCACCCCCTCCCTCCATCGCCGCCTCAAACCAGGGTCATAATCTCTCACCTCCAGCTTCAAGGGTTCTCGTCTGTTGTGACATCTGAACTCACCCTGTCTTTGTGGCCTGACCAGGGGAATGGGTTCTTTCATGGAAAGTCTGACGTCCAGCCCTGGGTGCATGCTGTCTCACTTACTGCTGGTCTCCTTGACAACCTGAGCACGTGCTGTCACGGGAGCGAAGGGGGCGAGGGGCTGATAGCTCCAAGGTGACATAGCAGGATGTGTCCTGGTAACGTCTGGGCCTGTGGCACCCAGTTTGAGGATTTGAGCTGGTTGGCTTGAACATACCAAGTCTGCACCCCCCTAAGGAGGAGGGATGGCGTGCCAACCATGATCAGCCCCTAAAGGTTGAATGAAATACGCTTCGCTCTGGATGGAAGAGCTGTTTGTGTCTCTGTGTCTCCAGTGTTTTCTTTCCTGAGAGTGTCTGTTCTGTGATGGTTGCATCCCTAAGAAATGTCCAGCAATCAAAGATAACGTCAATGGGGAAAGTGGCGTTGGGGTTTCATACTTGCAGAAATAACTTTGCCGTGGCGCTAGAACCAGCCTGTGGCCCCTGTCACTCTGTGGCCACCGCCAGGACCAGCAGTAGCCAGCATAGCCCACCTGCGATCCCTCATTAACGGATCCTGTTATATTTCATCTGGTTATACAAAGTCTTACCGTCTGGGGGGGATTAAGACTGTTGGCTAGATATATTAGTAAGGATTTGGGCCTTCAACAAATATTTATAGAGCCCTACTCTGTGACCTGGGATGAGCAAAGGCAGCACCATTCCTAGTTCTGATCTAGGGGGAGACAGACTCTAATGATAAAATCACACACAAATACCCAGCTCCTAGCAGGTAGCCATAAATAGTCGAGGGAGAGATTAATCAGGCATCACGGTGCAGCTGTAACAAGTGTCCTGCAGTGGGCACATGGTGCTCTGAGTACTTAGATGTGTGTGTGTGGGGCGGGGGGGGGGGGGGGGGGTGGGCAGGGGCAGGGAAGGTTTGCCTCAGAAAGTGCACGTGTGAGCTGAGATCACGACCTGAAGGGAACAGAGCGCTAGGCCTCAGCTTGTGCAAGGGCCCTGTGGCTCGCGGAAAGATAGCACCAGTGAGAATCTGAGGGCTGGTGAGGCTGGTGCAGAAGCTGTGAGGAGTTCTACTGCTAAACAAAGGAGAGAGCACAGTGTTGGGCACTTGGTGGATATCTGTGAACGAACTGAAGTTCCTGAAGTGAGATGGATAAATTGTCCCGGTGAGGTCTGGCTACTCCCAAAGGAAGGGAGGATTGTGGGAAGGCATTTTTCCCAGGGTGCTCTGAGAACCCAGCTGGGCTGAGGCTGAGCCTGCGGTGGCCTCTCCTTACAGTGGCGTTGACTGTGTCTTCCTCGCCTTCATTCTTAGCTTCCCAGATGGGGGCTCTCTGAAAGTAGTTATTTCTCCTGTGTGCTGCCGGAGATCAAAGGGGCAGACCCTCCCTGCACACCTGGCAGAGGAGCAGCATCCTAGGGCCTTTCATCTGTCAGTCTCCAGCACTCCGTGCACAGCAATGAGCTCTCAAGGCCTCAGCCTCTCGGGCAGCACCGTTATCCCTCTTTTATAGCCAGGCTCATAGCAAAACAAAAAATCACATTGCTCACCAGATTATTTATCTACAGCAGCAAGGAAGGGCCAAGGACCCAGAAGTCTTGGATTTTTCAGCTTGTAAAAATACACATATTTGAACTGATAGCTTCTTTCCTATAGCAAAGCCAGAACAGGCCTCCCCTGGGGGTGGGTGGATAGGCCCCTATTCGAACTCAGCCAGGGGACTGGCTCTGCTCTATCAAATCTCGCTTCTCAAGACCAGGCTCCAAAAGTAGTTTCATTCCTTGCCCATCAGTCTGAGCAGGACATGCAGAGGACACCTGGAGTGTTTGCAAATCAATCACGCAGGCTACATGGAAAATAAACCAAACCTAAACTCACTGGGAGCCAGGACAAATGATATTTTATTAATGCCGAACAAAGCTCTACATCTGAAAACTCTGGTGAAAAAAATCCCAATAATTCATCTTTCCCGTCCAAGAGACAATCAGTTAGGCAAGTAGAACATTTCCCTCGCTTTGCTTTGGGCAGACAGGGACAGGTGGTGGGGTTTCCTTGTGAGACGGACAGAATCACATGGCTTGTGCTCCGGTCGTGTCAGGTTAATGTGCTGGGAGATGGGGCCTTCTCCACGAGGGCGTTAGGTACAGTGAAAACCCAGCACAGCAATAGTCACACAAAGGAAACATGTTCTTCCTGAGTTCTGATTCAATGCGGCAGAAATTTATGGTGCCCTCAGTGTGCAAGGCATTTAGGGGTCAGCCTCCTCCCTCGCAGGACTTCCGTCCTAAGACACAGACCAGACCCCAGGAGCTGTCATTGAAGTGGCCACATGGAGCTGAAAATAAGAGAGTGTAGCCTGAGAAAAATCTTTTTTTTTTTTCATTTTTGTTCTTACTGCTGAAACTCTCATAAAGATACAAAACTGAAATTCACATTCAATTGTACTGATGACGAATGCATTTCTTATAGGGGCAGGATAGGAAGGGTTCTGTGACTGTAGACTTACTCCGAGCACTCTCTGATAAGAGGAGGGTCCAGGGAGGGGTGCAGGCAGCACTCACAGGGCAGGCCCACCAGCAAGCGCCAACCCCAGCAGCTGATCTCCCAAAGCCCTTTCAGAGCTGTCTGTGTGCGGACGCTCCGGGAGTGCTGGGCCTCTTCCTCACGTTGCCGCTGGTTTTGTTTTCTATCCCATTTGGGTTCCTTTCATACTCTCAAAACCATTAATTACACAAGTAATACACAGGTAATACCTTAGTAGAAGAATCAGTAGCCAAAAAAGCAAAAGCACGGTGATAAAAATCACCATCATCCCACCACTCAGATCACTGAATAGTTTGGTATCCACCCTTCCAGGCTGTTGAATAGAAAGGGGATTCTCCTGTATGCACCTTTTTTACAATCTGCTATGTTTCTCTGGTGCTTATTTTCCATGTTATTTGAAGTCTCTTTGACCTTCGGGCCTTGATGTTTCCACTTGTCAAATAAGCTGGTTATATAATTTTCCTGTCATTCCCTCACTTCTTCACCCATATCCACCCATCTATCCATCTATCCATCCATTGTGCACCTGAGCCAGGTGCCAAGGAGACAGTGGTGAATAGAGCCCTCTCTGCCTTGCCTGCTCTCACAGTTCAATGAGGGAGGCAAGGAGAAACAAAAGAAAGAGCTTAGAAGAGGAACAGACCAGGAACAAGGGAGCACGCAGGGTGGGTGCTGTTTCAAGCAGGAGGGTCATTAGAGGGGCACCTGTTCTGTGTGCAGTACTTTCCACACTTTGCCCTTCACCCTCACCATTCTTCAGGGTCATGTTATTGTCCTCATCTTACAGACGCCTTGGCTGAGGCTCCAAAAGGGTCTGCACTTGCTCAAGGTCACACAACCACTAATGTGAAGGGAAACTCAGATCTTTTCCATCCCTGAGCCCGTGCACCTGCCTGGGCCCCAAGCCCTGCTCCTCGCCCCACCTCCTGGAGGAGGATGCGCTCTTTAGGATCGAGTATTGCCCCAGGCGCTGGTGGAGGGAAATGTCCGAGGCAGCGATGCTAGCAGGGCAGGCTTTGTTCGCCCGGGGACGGGGACCACCTTAAATATATGGTGCCTAAGGAAATACGTGAAGAGGAATTTGACAGGGGCCAGGGTTGGGGTGGGGGTGGTCTTCCTTACCTCGTGAAGGCTCAGTTATCTGCAGAGGCACATCTGTAATTTGATATCCACACTATGGGTGACTTTATTCTGATTGTTCCTGAGATCCCGGTGTTTGGACCCGCGGTAGAAATCAGATCCAGACCCAGAAGGAGAGAGACAAATCATCTGTGCCTTCCCGGACACGCGCTTTCATTTTATAGAAGTGGAGGCTGAGACCCCAGAGGTGCAGCGACTTTCCCAGGGCGCCCAGAGTGGGAGGGCCGTCAGCACCTTCCTCCGCCTCCCCTCTCTCTCCCGTGCTCGGAGCAGCGCTAATGTCCCACTAATGGTTTTAATGGTTCTCCCAGCAGTGTGTGAAGTGGTGCACGGCTCCATTGTTTAAGCCCGCGTGATGGAGGCTCTTACTTGCTTCCATTAACCTCTGCCTCCCTCCGCCGCCTTGTGCTCCTGTCCCGGAGTTTTCCTTCGGTCCTGGAGGGTCCGGGAGGAGGGGCAGGACTCCTCCTTCCCTTGACATGTAAGTGGGGTCCGCGACTTTCCCAGGGCACCCAGGGGTCCTCCTCCTTTTTTCCGGGGGCCGTGTAGAGCATTACTGTT